GGTTCGATTCCAGTCAAGGGCACGTACCTCATGCGTGCAGGCTCAATCCCCTGCCCCAGGTCTACGGGAGGCAACCAATTGATGTGTCTCTCTCACATCGATGTTTCTCTCTCTCTCTCAGTCATATAGGACTGAGATGCTATGAGAAGTTTACTAACTGCTTTAAAATATTTCGGCAACCACAAAAGGAGGGGATGAAGAAAGCAAATATAGCAAAACGTTGAAAAATATTGAATCCGGGAGATGTATATGTTTGCGGGATTGTTATTCTAGCCCACTTTTGTGTAAGATGAAACGTTTTTATTAAAAGCCATTTCATTTAAGAGCTTTCATTCATTGAGCATCTGCTGAGAACAACTCATTGTGTCGAGGGCTTCGCAAACATTTCCTGCTGAATCCTCACAACAGCCTTATGAAGCGGCTACTGTCATTGTCCCGACTTCATCGATAAGAAAACTAATGAAACAACAACCAGTTCGGGGTGCAGCCAATGGGTCTGCCAATCACCCGTTATCTCAAGCAAAGGCTCGCAAAGGCTCCTATTTTTTTTCATTTTTACAAAACATGTTTCCAAACTGCCTAGAGCCCACACTGGGGGGGCGTCCCCCAAACCCTGTGCTAACCATCTCCAAGCTCACAAATCGGAAGGCAGGGATGGTGCCGGTAGGGAAGGGGCAGTGAGAAAGGGGGTTGAGAGGCGAGGGGACAGAGGGTGAAAGAGAAGCAAGAGAACCACAGAGAAGCCGTAAGGGGTAACACAGACATCAACAGGGCGGCAGCACATGGAGACAGTCACGAAAGGAGGCAGGTGGACCAGATGGGAGAGAGAGAGGGGGAGCGGAGGGAGCTGAAACAGGAATACAGAGCTGGAGAGGGGACCCGTTTATCCTCCCATGGCCCCTCTTCCACTGTCCCCCAACCCCCAACGCCGGCCGGAGGAGAACGCCACAGAGCGAAGGGGGGCCCAGACAGCCGAGCACACGGCACATTAAACCTACAGCACGGCAAAGCGTAGTGACAGATCGGTGTCCGGGCGGTTACCCCGTGCCCTCTCCCCACCCCCACCCCCACCCCCACCCCACCAGTGGCTGTTCTCCGTGAGCTCCCAAGAGTAAACAGCTCCTCTTGACCAGCTCCGAGCTCACACGTCGGAAGGAAGGGAAGAAGGAATGACTCACTCAGACAGTTTTTTAACAGCATAACGGAGAGGCAATTCACAGACCATCCGTGTCCAGCAAAGGGGCTCCTGGGGAAGAGAGGGTGTGGCCGAAGCTAAGGTTCAAGGCCAGGGTAATGCCTCAGGTGCTCAGATCAAAGGCTCCCGGAGCCTATGTCAGGGAAGGTGTGGGTCGAAACAGTGGGAAGGACCTGTTTGGGGGTTGCATGTGTGTTTGGGGGGAGGGCAGACAGGAAAGGGGGCACAGGAGGGAGAGCGAGGAGCAGAGAACACAAAGGGGAGAAAGAACCCTCCAGGCCTTTCAGAATCTGGAGTGAGAGCCGCAAGGGGGGGCAGGTTTGGTCAATCTACCAGCACGTGTTTGTCACAGGGGAGCCATTCACGCCAACTACGTGTTAAGACGTGCCTTTCCTCTCACCGGCAGCATGGTGCCGCAGTAGCCAGGAAGGGGAACCAACCCAGACCTCCACCCGC